GTGTACGCGCGCGCGCGGGGGGGGGGGGGGGGGGGGGGGGGGGGGGGGGGCGGGCACCAGACAGCAGTGTGAGAAGGAAGTTCCTGTGGAGTCAGGACTCAAGTTGGTATACTGCTTCCAAGAAAGCAAAGGATGCTGAGAGAGGCAATGAACAAAGGAGAGCCCCAGGCCTCCCTAAGAAGAGAAGCAGGGAAACAAGCATCACAGGCTACACCTTGAGGTAGCTTCTGTGAGAATTCTTAGCAGCAGCCGAAATCGACCCACTGGGTGTTAGCTGGTTCTTGTGGTTTGAGTGTGAAATGTCCTTCATAGATCACGTGTTTAACACTTAGTCCACAGCTGGTTTTGCTATTTTAGAAGATTGTGGAATCTTTAGGAGATGAAAGCCTTTCTAACAGAAGTGGACCCCTCCTCCATGGGCTGACCCTTGAGGTTTTATAGCCCACCCCATTTCCTGTCCATTCTCTGCTTCTTGACCCCATATGCAATATTGATCAGCCATCTCCCACCCTGCCATGCTGGAGTATCTCCTCAAACTGTGAGTCTAAATGAACCCTTCCTCCCTTACGTTGCTTCTCACATAGGATTTGGTCATAGCAATAAGAGAAGTAATTGCTACACCAGCTTTCTGTCACTGTGACGACACTGACATCATCGACTTATAAAGAGGAAAATCTCATTTGGCTCAGTTTTGGAGGTACTAGTCCATGATCGGTGGGTCCAGTCACTTCTGAGCCTGCGATGAGGCGAAGGATCACAGAGAAGATGCTTGATAAAGCAAAGCCATTCACTTCATGGTCAGGAAAGGAACATGAGGGAAAGCAGAAGGGCTGGGATATTCCTATTCCTTTCAGGGCACATACCCTAAAGATCTCTTACTAGGCCTCATTTCTTAAAGTTTCTACTACTTGCCAATGGTGCCACAGTCTGGGGCCCAAACCCTTGACACATAGATCTTTAAGGGACACTCAGCACTCTATAACACCATCTTATGTTTGTGTGAGTGTTAGCATTGTCCTCTGTTAATGTTGGGCATAGACACACCTAATCTGCCTTCCTAGCATGAACCTACACTGTCATGTGCCGGCTACTGAAACAACAACTTGAGCCACCCCAAGGTGGTGCTACCTGCCAGCCCACAGCTGGCACAGTTCTGTTCAACAGCATGTGTGCACCTACTTCAAAACATCATTGAATTTTCCCCATGTTGCTTTACTAAAAACAAATGGGAAGTAGTAAAAAGAGAAAGTGCTAATATTAGAGCTAAGCCAAATAACATTTCCATGTGTGCTGGCTAGTTTTATGTCAACTTGACAAACAGAGTCGTTTTGGGAAGAAAGAATCTCAATTGAGAAAATGCCTCCACCAAATTGGCCTTTAGTGCATTTTCTTGCTGGAAGATTGATGTGGGAGAGACAAGTTCACTGTAGGCAGTGCCACCCATGGGCTGTTATAAGAAAGCAGGCTGAGCAAGCCATGGTAAGCAAGCCAATAAGCAGCACCCCACCCACCCTTATGGCCTCTGCATCAGCTCCTGCCTCCAGATTCCTGCCCCGATTTTCCTGGATGATGGACTATAAGCTGAAATAAACCCCTTTCTCTCTAAGTTGCTTCTGGTAATGCTATTCAGCTGAGCTACATCCCCAGCCCTTGATGTGAAGTACTTTTTATCTCTCAGATTTAAGACCACTACCAGTGAAGGGTATCTTGTGAAAATTTGAAAAGGGGGTTCGTTTTTTTCCTCCTCTATGTAAATATAACACTATGCCAAGGTACACAGCTGAGTTTCAGTCCCCACTAAATCTGTGGCCAGATGCTGCTACATAGTGGTCAATCTGCCCAACAGTGCAGAGCTGCCCAGGATGGACGTGTATTTATAATACATGTCTCTTGTTCTAATTCTATACAGTTAATTTTACACACATTCCACATTTATAAAAACAGAAGACTGCCTACAAACAATATTTATTGTTCCTGTTCTTTAGATTATAAGACTTTTCCCATATTTGAGACATCCTTAGGAAAGTGAAAATATACAACCATGAAATTATGATGGGTAAGACTAGGTAAAATTCATGTCCTCCATCAGTAATCCTCACTACAGCAGGAGCAAGTTTTTTTTATTTCCTAGAAGTCTGTGTCCTGGTTTGGCTTTTTGGTTTCTGTTGCTGTGATAAAACACTGACCAAAAGCAACTTGGGGAGCAAAGGGTTTAATTTAGCTTACAGGTCACAGTCCATCATGAAGTCAGGACAGGAACTCTGCTTATTGGCTTGATTCCATGGCTTATGTTCAGTTACAGTTCTTACACTTTCCAGGATCTATTTCCCAGGTGTGACATCACCCATAGGTGGCTGGGTCCTCCCACATCAGTCAACAATCAAGAAGATGTCCACAAACTTGCCTATATGTCAATCTGATGGAGGCATTTCTTCAACTGAACTTTCCTCATCCCAAGTGACTTTTTTTGTGTGTAAAGTTGACAAAAACTAAACAGCACATTTTGTATCATGTCTTTTACAGAATTGTCAACTCTTTGAGGACATGAGCTAGATGTTTCACTTGTCTTATTTCCAGAGCACAGCACAAAGATGTGTGGGAGTGTGGTAGAAAATGGTAAGGATTGCTGGAGTCCATGTTGCAGGAGTATGAATGAGCCTTCTCCAGTACATGTCCTTTTGGGTTCCTCTTGATCCTCTGGGTGTAAATGCACCTAATGATAAATTTGTTTCCATTTCCCAGACTTGATGGGGGCAATGCACTAGGGCTGTGGTTCCAGAAGCTTACCAGGCATCAGCCTTAGGACAGAGCACAGTCTTGACAAGTTCACATTTGAGAGCTAGTGGGTTCCAGCTCTCTCCTTGAATAGCACATCCCTTTCTAGTTGAGCTTAGAAGAGTGGGCCTAGCTTTGGCAAGTACCTAGTAGAAGGAATGTTCAGATGTGGAGAACAGGGTGTAGAGCTCATGGAATAGGCTTGTTTAGGGGGCAGCCCCTCAACAGAACAGAACAAAATGCCCTCTTAATTGTGGAACAACTCCAGGGTATACTTAGGAATCCCACAGGACTCATCTCAGCATGCCCCACAGCAGAGTTGCATTAGCTGGTGTTCCTCAAAGAGGAATGGATTTTATGTTTCTCTAATGTGAGCAGTCTGATAACCCTGGTAGAAGAGAAATGACTGTCCCTAAACCCTTCTCAGAATCCTAGAGATCTTGGTCATGGCTGCTTTGTGTCCAGACAACTCCTACAAGCTGAAGGTCTTTGTTCTTGAGATTTCCAAGTTCACCTCCTTTTCCTTCCATCTCAGACAAGTTGGAAAGGCAGCTTCCCTTGGTCAGCAATTGAGAGTGTTGGCTCATGGAGTGGAAGAAACACACTTGTGATAGACAGAGAAAATGCTCATGTTTTATGGTTAATAGCTGCTTTAAACAATGAATGAATTACCATTCAACTCCACCATGTAGAGCCTTCTAACTTGCCATTCCCAGCAGCTTTGTGGGCCTCTGTGGATGAATAGCAGCCCCTTTCAGGCTCTGTGTTTCCTTCTTGATGATCAGGAAGGTAGTGGCTCAATCAGTGTGGTCCTGGGGTCTATGGCTTCCACACATTCTGGAACTTGTTTGGAATGCATGAGGTTCTCAGGTGCCCCACAGACTAAAACTTGCCTTCTAACTATGCCTAGTAATTCCTCAATTAAATTTGAAAAGAGTTGTTGTACAGTCTAGAAGGGGTGTGTGTGTGTGTGTGTGTGTGTGTGTGTGTGTGTGTGTGTGTTAGCATCATCTATCAACCTAAATCATCTACATCTTATACTTATTAAAATCTATTCTTTGGTAATTTCATTTGTGAATACAGTTTATCTATATTTTACTTTTTAAAAGATTTATTATTTTAAAATATTTATTTATCTTTTACTTCTAGTTGTGTGTGAGAGTGTGTGTTTGTGAATATGGGCCTGTGAGTTCATGTGCCTGCAGAGGCCAGTGGTGTTGGATCCCTTGGAACTGTAGTTATAGACAGTTGTGAGCCCCCTGATGTGGATGCTAGGAACCAAACTCAGTTAACTGCTGAGCCATATCTCCAGCCCTGCATCTGATTTTTGCCAACAAAACCTCTCACTGAACCTGGAACTTACCAATTCAGCTTGACTGGCCAGCCAGCCATGGATCATTCTGTCTCTGCATCCCCAGTATTAGGAATTACAGGTGTATATTCATATGCCTGGTTTTTATATGAGTGCTGGAAAGCTGAACTCTATGGTGATATTTTATTTGTACTGAAATGTGATTTTATTTGTATGATAATAAATAAAGTTGCCTGGGGGTCAGAACTAATAGCAAGTCATAGCAGAAGCTGGGCGGTGGTGGCGCACGCCTTTAATCCCAGCACTTGGGAGGCAGAGCTAGGCGGATCTCTGTGTGTTCAAGGATACAGCCAGCATGGAAACACATGCCTTTAATCTCAATACCAACCATAGAAGACCTGGAGGTCTGTATAGATGGGCAGTGATGAGGAGGTCATGTGTTTGGGTTTACAACCAATGAGAAGGCAGAACAGAAAGTCTATAAAAAGACAGATACACAGGAAGTAGCGCATTTGCTGAGGGAAAGGACAGCAGTGGCAGCGAAGGGTAAGCTCAGCTCTCAGCTACTGCTCTGACCTCTTGAGCTTTTAACCCTGCAATTGGCTCTGTATTTCTTATTTAATAAGACTGTTCATCTACAGAACTCAGGTCCTCATATTCATATAACAGTTTACCACTAGAGCCATGTTCCCAACCTCTGACTCTAAGTTTTGTGGTTTCATGGCAAGTCCCACAGCCTGCATAGACTGAGGCTGCTATTCTATGCCTGGGCCTCTCACACAGGCTCAGTTCAGCTTCAGCATTAGCCCAAGACAGGGCATCTCTGAGCCATAATTTGGATTCATATATTACAAGTGGGAGAAATCTAAAGCTTACCTCAGAAAAGTTAAACTTTTTGGCCACTGTTACCTACCTCACTGGTGACAGAGCGTGGTGCCCTATCGAGCTGGCCCAACTTCAGTCACTTTTCATGTAGCAGTGTCCAAGGCAGGATCTATAGAGCAAGTGACATTTGAACTTTGCTGAAAGGTGAGCAGTTTGCCAGGCAGTCAGCAGAAGACAGGTGTTCTACAGAAGAGCTAGGGAGGTAGCACTTAGGAGAAATCTGGGCAAGTCCACAGGGTGGCCTGAGATTCAGTTATCTTTTATAATCTCTTGGGTCCTATTTGAATGCTAGCTTGCCTTGAACTTTTTCTGATGTGCCCAGGATGTGGGCAGAACAATCAGGTTACCTAAACAGTCGGCAAGCTTAGATGACATCTAATAACAGTGTGTTCCCTAAAGGAACTGAATACAGAGTGGAGTGGGATGCTCAGCTGGAGAAAGAGACTCCTGAGAACGGAGTTTGCCTTTAAAAATTCAGCTGCCACTAGATACAACAGGGTAATCTCACCTAGGCCACCAAGGGCATCTCCAGGGCCACACACTTGGAGTTTTTGTTTGGGAGGATGAACTGCTACCAGGAGGCTTGGTAGTTCTTTGGTATTCATCTTGTGTTTGTGGATCAGTCTAAGGAGTCATTCATTAGGGGCCCCTACATCATTGGACAGGATGTCACAGAGACACACAGGTTGTGGTAGAACCCCTATATCAAATCTCAGAGGCATCTTTGCAAACAGATTCTTATGCCCCTTTCCTTTCCTTTCCTTCCTCCCTCCCTCTCCCTCTCCCTCCTTCCTTCCTCCCTCTCCCTCCTTCCTCCCTCCCTCCCCCTCTCCCTCCTTCCTCCCTCCCTCCCCTTCTCCCTCCTCCCTCCCTCCCTTTCCTCCCTCCCTTCTCTGATCCTCTCTCTCTTCCTCATTTTCTCTTCATCTTTCCTCCTTCCTTCTTCCTCTCTTCTTTGATTTTGTTGGGGTGGTGTGTGTTAGTTTTTTTTTTCCTATTTCTGTAATAAATTACTATCCTGACAAAAGCAACCTAAGGGGGAAAATGTTTATTTTAGCTCACAGTTTGAGAGTACAGTCCATGGTAACAAGAAGACATGGTGGCAGGAGCGTGAGGCAGCTGGTCACAGAGCATCCACAGTCAGGAAGCAGAAATGAATGTTTGTGCCCAGCTCCCTTTCTCTCTTTTAAGTAGTCCAGGTGAAATGGTGCCACCCATATTCAGGGTTTGGTCTTCCTACCTCAATAAATCCATATTAAGAAAATCCCTTATAGGGGAGAGGGGACAGATATGATTAGGATATATTGTATACGTATATGGAAATTTCAAAGAATAAATTATTTTTACAGTCCTTAACAGGCATGATCAGGGGCCCTTTTCCCAGGATGTACAGGGGAGATGACAGCCATAGGGGAAAGGCAATACCAGAGTGGAACATAGAAGTAGAATCAAGGAATGCTAGGTGACAGCAGGAGGGGCTGGAGGGCCAGGAAGTACCCTAGTGTCTCCCAGAGGAGCATTGTCCACTCATTCCTCAGCTTGTGACTCTGTTCCCCATAGAAACAGATATCTACTGTCATAAGCCTTTCTTCCCACATTGTCTCAGGGACTTGCCTATCTCCATCCCAGCATTGGGCCTATAAGGTACAGGCACACACTGCCACGTCTGGATTTTTATGTGAGTGCTGGGGATCTGAACTTGGGTCCTTGTGCTTGTGCGGCAGTCTATTTATTTAGCCATCTACGAAGATGTTTCCAATTTTAGTATATGAAAAAACCACATACTTTTCTTGACAGAGCAAGTCCATGGTCTCCAAATGGGATACTCAATATGATCTCCTGGGCTTTAGGAAAAATATGAGGACTTTGAGGTTAAAAACCAAGAAAGTGGGCTGGAGAGATGGTTCAGTGGTTAAGAGCACTGACTGCTCTTCCAGAGGACCAGGGTTCAATTCTCAGCACCCACATGGCAGCTCACAACTGTCTGTAACTTCAGTTCCAGGGGCTCTAACATCTTCACACAGGCATACACATAGGCAAAACACCAACGAACATAAAATAAATAGTTTTTTAAAGAAACAAGAAAGAAGTTATACTTTTCCAGTCCTTTAATGTTCTAGCTGACACCAAAGAAAGCTATGAATGTATGCCTACACATCTGCATACACACCTACATGCAAAATAAATAATAATATCACTTTCTTTCTCCACATAAAAGCACCAAGGGCCAGGGAGGACATAGGAAGGAGTGGTCCCCAGTTTTAACCATGACAGTTAAACACTTCATTTGTTCTTGCTTGCTGGTTCCATCCCCCTCCTAGAGGACTCTGGCCTTAGTCTTGTGATTTGCTATGACTAATGAAACAAAACCATTATGCAAGCAGAGGCTTGGAGGGTACTTAGGCATTGGAAACTACCTTACTGTGGAACCTCTTGACATGTGGTGTCAGACAACACAGCTCCATGGAGTTTGAGAGCCTTGTGGCAAGATGATTGCATATATCTCTACTGGGGCCTGGGGCTTATATATGAGGCCATCCTCCACCACCAGCTGTAAACAGCATCACCCAGTCCACAACAACTACCCAGATCACCCAAAGAGTCAGGAGAAAGTAGAAGCATGTGTTGCTTCAAGTCACTATATTTGGGGTGCTTTGCTTTGGTTACTCAGAAAAACTGAGGCATACAGGTCCAGCCTGAGATCTTCAGCCCAGGTTGAATGCTGTGAAGCTCATACAATGCATGGTCTGCAAATATGAGGACCTTCAATATTGCTTCCAACTTTTTTTCCTGTTGCATCCTCAGAGACTAGCTGACAGATGTATCCAACCTATTGCCCACAGGCTACATTAGGCTGAAGACAAATATGAATTCAGTTCAAGCAAAATCATAAACATACTTAAAATACTATGTTTTTTTTGTGTGTGTACATGACTTTTTTTTTGCGGGGTGGGGTGGGGTGGGGTGGGCAGTCATCTCAAGAATGATCTGTGTAGGTGATATCATATTGTCATGCTAAAAGGTTGGACATGTCTGAATGTTTATTCAGCACATAGTGCAGGCTTAAAAATATTTTTGAGGTAATGAATGAAGATGAGTCCCAGAAGACATACATTAAATATTTTTAAGTGCATTGCATGAATTATTTTACTTAATCTTTGTCTCACATATGCAGCAAGTTCTTTTTCATGTCCATTTTAAAATAGGGCATTTAAGGCTTAGAGAATGCAATATAAGTTGCTTGCCCAAGATCAGACCACTAGAACAGCCAAGTAGGGATGAAATCTCTCCCATCCACCTGTTTTCAAGCAGCCTTAGAAGTATTGCACACATTACCAGAGATTCCAGCCCATCCATCATTCCACATGGAATGTGCTTTTATCTGTCGAAGCTAGAAATAGCATGCTCATCCTCTCTCTGTTGCTTAAGCTGTCCTTAGTCACCAGGTCCTTAGGGCACACAGTGAAGGTTGACACCTGATCACTTTGCCCTGGAACCAGGTTGCTTATGATGGTGACAGCTGTGTGCCTGGTGGGTCTACAATGGGGGTCACTGACAGAGGTCATCAGGAGTAAAAGACACCCAGCCAGGATCTGGCTGCTTCCAAAGCCAGTAGCTGGGAGGGGAGCCAGGGTGCTGTTCCAGCTTGGGCTTAGAACTAATTGATGCCAGATGCAATCCCTGGGACCCAGGTGGTGCCCATTATGTGAAGAACTAAAACCAGCTTCAGTGGAGGGGTCTATGCCAGGCAGGAATGGCCAATCACTATGCTGGAACAGTCTATGTAAAGCCCTCTGTCTGCCAATCCTCCTTTCCATCCAGGCTTGGAAGGACAGAAACAGCACAGATTGGAGAGCTAGGTAGTCTGTGCACAAGCTACATGCTGGGCTACTGGGCTTTGGTAATGGTAACCTCCAGTCCTTGCTGACTGCTTCCACAGGAAGACTCTCCTGGTAACTGGTGGTTCCCAGATTCCTTTCTGTTGTTTGCTTCAGCATGCTCTGTCCCTTGATCTATCTTGTCTTTCCTCCACGACACTTGTAACTCAGGACCTCACACATGTGAGGCACTCTGTCCTGGAGCTACATGCCCAGGTCCTGTTTATGTGCTTTCTTTACCATCTCTCCCAACTAACCTCGAGTTCCACGAAAGTAAAAGTTTTACTTGTCTTTTTCTCCATCCTATCTTCAATGACATGTCATGAAGATAGTAGTTGTGGAGTAAAAAATTTCTTGGATTGGGCTGGAGAGGTGGCTTAGAGGTTAAGAGCACTCACTGCTCTTGTAGAGGACCTGAGTTTGGGCCCCTCGATGTTGGGTACCTCACAGTAACTCTAGATCCAGGAGCCACAATGTCTTCTGTCCTCTTGTTCATTTGCACTCATGAGCACCCCCACCCAATACACACTCTTAAAATATTTTAAAAATTGCTAGAGGGCCTGGATTTGTAACTACAGTACTTGGGAGGTTGAAGCAGGAGAATCTTCAATTCTAGGCCAGCTTGGGCAACATAGGAAGACCCTATCATAGAAATAAGAAAAAAACCAGTTTAGTATTTTGGGAGACAGGGTTTCTGGCACTGCCTAGGCCGGCTGAAAAATTATGATCCTCGTGTTTCTGACTCCTAAGTTCTGGGATTTCAGATATGCACTCCCACACCAGGCAAGGTCAGTTCTTGAAGACAAACATTGTTATTGTTATTACTATTATTATTTTTTTGTGTGTGTGTATGTGTGTGTGTAATACATGGGTGCAGGGAACTGAACTCTGGTCCTTTGGAAGAAAAGCAAGCACTCCTAACCACTGAGCTATCTTTCCAACCCCTCTTTTCACTATTTCAATGAAACAGGATAGTAACGTAAGAAACATTGGTGACTTGCTCAAGTTCAAAGAGATAGCAAGTCTAACATATTCTTACCATGTTCAACTGACTTGAAACCTGTGAGGGTTAATTAAGCATGTGCCCCAGGTGATAAGAGGGAGATCATGCCTATTGTACAAACCTCTTTAAAGAAAAACAATAAGGTCCCAAACACCATTTCCTCTCCAGACACCTTTTTGATCTAATAATCTAAGAAATTATTTTTTTCAAGGAAGAGAGGCTTCAGACTCAGAATTAGACTCTCATGGTGAGATTTGGCAATAAGAGGCAGAAAACCTGAGAAGTCATGTGAATGAGACAGAGATCAGCAGTCAAGGATTATAAAGGCAACTAATTCCCTCTTTGTCAGGAATTGGGACTCCTACTCCTTGATCTGGCACTCAGTCTAGATGACAGTCTAAGCTGCTGCACTTCCAGCCATCACATTTACCTTCTTGCCATCAGAAAGAGGGAAGTCTTCACCACTTTAGGGAGCACTTCCTATAAGTTAAATGCAATGACTCAGTTTATTCTCCTTCTACATGAAGGCTTAATGAAAAAAAGGGAAAGAGGGGGAAGCAATGATTTTGTTCCTGTGTTTGAAGCCACTTATGACATCTATGGCTCACTGCCCATGACAGAGCCTCTGAGCTGGCAGCTTTGATCAGAAGATCAAGGAAGGCTTCATTTAAGGACAGGCTATAAAGTGAGACTTACCTGTGACCTGGGTCTTGGGCTGACGAGGACAGAAAGTTGTTCTATGTGTGCCTCATTGGAGAGGGAGAGTTTAATTCCCTCCTCAAGGTGTGCGTATAAGCTGCTGCACCTTGGATTGCATTGAAGCCCAGTAAAGAGGGAATGTTGGTAAAGAATTACTGGTAGGAATTATTGGGGTACTGCCAAGGTGAAGGCAAGGGACTGTCACTGCAGGCTGATCAGATAGAGCTCAGGCCCTGGATGAGCCAATCTCTTGTTGCCCCATTAAGCAGGGGGAATAGGGCTGGCAAAAAGCTTAGGGAGCAGGTTCTATGATGCTCCATTAAGCTGGCAAGACCTGAAGCCCAGTTGTATGAGCCCTCTGTGCATTCAAGTGCATGGAAGGAACTGCTGCTTTCAGGGGAAAAGGCCCCTAGCTCTGGACAGCTGTGGATATAACTCAGGTTACACCTGCTAGCTGGTGAAGCGCTGGGAGGGTGGTAGAATGGAACCAGGGTGCTCAAAAGAGGGGTGGAAGAAGGCACCATGCCCTTTGGGTCCATGCAAATGTGTGTCTGCATCCAATAAACCACCAGCATCTGGAAGGCATGATAAGCAGCTCCCCCCCCACATAGGGAACACACAGCCACACTAAGATACCCTACCCCCAAGATGCTGGAGGAATGGGGGATGCTCCCCGAGGTAGACCATGCCCCTTCATGTCTTCTCAGAGAGGAGGAAGGAGATCCCCAAGGTCTGGTTAGGTGAGTCCTCACCAGACATACCCCCACCACAAGAACCAGGGCCTCCTTGCCCAGGTCTCTGCCCTTATCAGAGAAAGGCTACAGAATAAACAAGGCAGGGCTGGCAGTGCAAAGAGCTGTCAGTGACCACAATGGGACGCCAGAGACAGCTACTTGTTCAAGGAGGGGACATGGAGCAAGGTTTCACCTGAAAAGAGTCCCTGTGTCTGTCTAAGGAAAACCTCCACAGGATGAGGCTGGTGCTTTTTCCCTGTTGTCCTGGGCAGGTGGTCCTGAAGGGTTGATGGGGTGTCCCTGAAGAGGAGTCATTTGATTTCCTGGAATTTGGATTTTGAAGTGTGGTGATAGGGAAAGGGACTTTTCCTAAAAAAAAAAAAAAAAAAAATGGTGAAAGTCTAAGAACTACTGAGAGCTCACACTGAGTCTCAATTTCCTACACACATGCACACACACACACACACACACACACACACACACACACACGATGCTGATGTGGCCAGTGCCATTTTACTCATTTTATAGTAAGCATAGGCTCAGAGATGTGAAATAACTTTCTTGAAGGCAGAAGGTGCCACATGGTGGATCCAGGTCCTTCATCTGTCCTGGAGTGATTTAGATACCTAGGAGGTAGTTTAGGCACACATTCCAAAGGAAGCCAGCCACACAGGGCAATGAGTTCCAGGTGATGAGTAGGTGTGGGCCATACTCAATAGGAGAGGAAGGCAGATAATATCTGCATATTCTGGTTGATGGTCTGGACCATTCAGAGTGGTTAGCAAGCTCAGCAGGAAGAAACTCATGGAAGGCAGCAGTTGGACATAGTGTGGCATAGAAGCCTAGGAGGAAACAGAGGGCAGAGACCACATAGACCTGCCTGAATGATAGTTGGTAGCTTTGATTCCCTGTGGCGGGACATCAGGATCCTTACCGAGGGTCAGAGACAAGGAAATGGAGCTGGGCCCCAGGTTTGCCTAGAAATAAATACTGAACATACAGCAAATTGGAGGTTTCAATGTCAATCTATTTAAAGATGGCAGCTCAATGAAAACTTAGGTGGTTGGGGATGTGGCACAGTAGGTAGAATGCTTACCTAGTGTGCCTGAAGCCCTGGGTTTGATTATAAACACTGCACAAACTGGGCATGGTGGATTATGTGTGCAATCCCAGCACTTGAGAAGTGGAGGCAGGTGGATCAGCACTCAAGGACAGCCTGGGCTACATGAGACCCTGTCTGGAAAGGAAGGAAGGAAGGAAGGAAAGAAGGAAGGAAAGAAGGGAAACAAAGAACTTTGCCATATATCTGATAGTTTTTAGGAGTCTCAGATGCATATTGTATTCTGTCTCCAAAGTTCACTGGTCTCAGCAGTCTTCTGGTCAAGTGTGTTTCATATGGTTTGGTTATATCTGCTTACTGAAACCCACAAATGCTTCCTGGATTAGAAGTGATGGACATTGGAGATGTGCAAGAGAAGAACTATACTGAACTCTACCAGGAAACTGGGCATTCAGAGTGAGAACTTCAGCAGTGCATTAGTTGACAGAAGTTGCTATGATAGATAAAGCTTGGACCTCCATGGCCTCAGCTGCTTGTTTATGCCACAATGAATGGCTATTCCTGCTGTGGATATCTGTATGCTGTGAATGTGTTGCTCTGATTGGTTAATAAATAAAGTGCTGATTGGCCAGTAGCCAGGCAGGATGTATAGGTGGGACAAAGAAAGAGGAGAATTCTGGGAACAGGAGGGCTGAGTCAGGAGACACTGCCAGCCACTGCCACAAGAAGCAAGATGTGAAGGCAGAACTGGGAAAAGGTACCAAGCCACGTGGCTAAACATAAATAAGAATTATAGGTTAATTTAAGTGTAAGAGCTAGTCAGTAATAAGCTTGAGCAAATGACCATATAGTTCGTAAATAATATAAGCCTCTGTGTGTTTACTTGGGCCCGAGTGGCTGCGGGACTGGCGGGTGAGAGAAATTTGTCTTGACTACTGGCAGGCTGGGACACAGGAAAACTTTAGCTACATATTCCTGGTTGGTTAGGCTTCACCCATAGACTGGATCTTGTGGCTCTTCCCTTTTGTGAATCCTTGGAGTCTTTGGCAGTCAGCCTAAAGTGGACTGCTCTTATGGTAGTGTTCTCAACCTTCCTAATGCTTTGACCCTTTAAAACAGTTCCTCATGTTGTGGTTGTAAGTAAATTGGTTGCAACAACTCTGCGGAAAGGTGTCCTGACTACCTGGGGAATCAGGCAACACCTCGAGCTGCTTAGAACAACAGCTCTGCCCTGAAGGTGTCCTGGACACCTGGAACTGTTTAGCACAGCTCTGATGGCTGGAACTGCAAGGAGGCAGTTCAGCCCTGGAGGGCTAGGTATCCCGGACACCTTGAGCTGCTCAGAAAAACAGCTCTGCCCTGAAGGTGTCCCAGGCACCTGGAGCTGTTTAGCACAGCTCTAACGGCTGGAACCACAAAGAAGCAGCCCAACCATGGAAAAGAAATTTTTCTGACTTCTCGGGAAAGTCTGGCCTGGAACTGCTTCAGCAGGGAAGGGTATCCTGACTATTCAGGAAAGTCAGGGTATACCTGGTATGATGGGGGATGGTCTCCCCACAGGATATTGCAATCCTGCTTCTCTCCTGGAGATCCGCTACAGCTGAGCCTTGCTCAACCCCCACTTAAGGGGGCTTCCTAGCAGAGTTCTGCTTCTCCACGCTCTCTCCGGCCTAAGATGTTGCTTCTTTTGCTTCGCTCTGCAAAAGGGGAAACCCCTGCAGAAATGTAGCAATCTCCTCTGGCTCTGGAGAAAAGTGTTACTTTTTCAGCTCTCTCTTGCTCTGTTCTCTGAGGGACGCCTCAGCAAAGATCTTCTGTCCTGCTCTTCCTTGCTTTGCTCTTTCAGCTCTCCCTTGTTTTGTCCACTGAGGGAGTCTCAGCAAGGATCTTCTCTGTGCCAGTGAAGGAAGATCTTCACACCCAAAACTCTTTTGAGAAAGAGATTTATTTGGGAAGGAGTAGTCCAGGAGAGTAGCTGCCTCCTCTAGGGTAGAGAAAACAGCTTTTTTTTCTAACTGACCAGGCAGGATGGTTTACACAGGAAGTCTTGGGGGTGGAGTCAACCAGGAGTTGACTTGGGGCCCAGGGTTCTACTGTCCTGCTCTGTGATTGCTTGGTTTCACAAGTCAGTTGGCTAGGGACAGAGATGGCTCTGATCTGACTGAGCCAAACTGTGTTTCTTTCTGCCCTGATCTGAGCCATCTTTCCCTAGTTCTGGGCTCCAGGGTCAGGGTGGATTTCTTTAGCCAGCCCCCTTTCCCTACATTGGTGATCCCCAACCAGAAAATTATTTTAGTTGCTACTTCATAACTGTGATTTTGCTACTGTTATGAATCGTAATTAAGTATCTTTTCTAATGGTGTCATGCAAACCCCGTGAAAGTGCATTGTTTAACCCCAAAAGGGTTGTGACCCACAGGCTGAGAGCTGCTGTCTTATGGGGAAGCATTCTTGCCCAGGTGTAACAAAGATCTCTGCCACTCACAAGAAGCAGTCACTGAACTTCACTAAAATGCAAGCAGCTGATGTTTCTGGAAGCAACATACTTTGTCTGCAGACAGTTAAAACAGGCCAGATGTCATTCACTCCTGTAAACTCAACATGGCTTGATGAAAGTGTTCTAAAACTTGGGTAGGGAGCAGCTGGGTGACACTGTGAATGAACTACATACTATAGGACAGGGCACCTTACAATAAATGCTGTGTTATGTTTATTCATCTATATTTTAAAAAACACAAGGGGGCTGAGAAATGTAGTTCCTGGCTAGGAAGCTGCTGTTTGCTTCCTGATGCAAACCCCACACTCTAGAAGGGGTACATGTGTCTTTGGTGAGTAGTCAATGTTTGCGTTTACATTTATGCTGTTTCCTCATGTTCAAACATATATGTTCATTATTCGTGCCCTGTGCATATGCACACAAGTTCTGTCTTGAAACAGAGAGAGGGGGGAATGGAAGGTAATACAAGAAAAGGAAATACATGGATTACCGATAATGAATCTATTCATTAAGGGATTATATGGGGTATCAACTCACTGATACGGGATATGGCAATTTCATTAGCAGAGTCCCTGGAAGGCTGAAAACCAGTCTCATGCTGTTTCATGCTGCCTGGCCTGGTCTTCACCATCCAAGAGCTTGTGAGAGAAGGGGACTGTGTATGTGCTCCTCAGTCCTCAAGTCTTAAGCTAGCCAAGAGGTCATAACCTAGGGGCTGGTACCCCAAGGTCATAGGTGGAATGAATACCCGCTACAGGAAGGCAGAAGGGAAAAGGGAAGGGAGGAGAGGGAGAGAGGAGAGGAGATGAGAGGAGTGGGGGGAGAACAGATGTATGCAGCTATACATGTATGTTGATGCCCAAGGTTGATATTAGTTGTCCTCTTCAGTCTCTACCTTAATGTTGAGGCCAGGTCTCTTCCTGAACCTGGAGCTCACTGACTAGCTAGGTTGGCTGGCCAGTAAGCCCTGGAGAGTCTCCTATCTTCGTGGCACTGGGATTACAGGTGAATGACACTGTGCCCAGGTTTTCTGTGGGACTTACAGATCAGATTCAGGTCCTCAACCTTCTGAGCAAGCACTTTACCACCTCCCCATCTTTCTCATCTCCCTCTTGAAGTGAATGGACAGTGCACTCCAGGCTGAGAGTGTGGCTTCTTTTTTAACGATGTAAACAAACTTCCAGGTAAAGTTCGATACACAGAGGTTTAGCAGTATACAGAGGCCACTGGCCTGGATAGCTGAGATTTTGCTTGGCAGGTGTGGAGTAGATGACTGGGAAACCTCCTTTAGAACCACCTCTGATCCTGAGAAGGGCTCTCAGGTCCACTGCTCCTTATGCCTCTGATGTCACTCTAGGAGATTTCTTCTTGCTAAGCATCTCTGGAGTCACATACAAAGTGAGTCTGGGAGAGTTCGCCGTAGTCAGAGGTACACAGAATTCATAAACTGGCTTCCTGTCTATGCAGGTCCCCTCACCCACCCAAGTTGTTTAATGCTTGAACAGTCAAAATCTTTGCTACTTTGAGCTCATCAATTTTCTGGCAATAAGATGCCCTAAAAAATGCCATAGGCTAGGCCAGGCATGGTGGTACATGCCTTTAATCCCAGCACTCAGGAAGCATTGGCAGGCAAGCTCTAAGTTTAAGGCCATCCAGGACAACAGTGAGACCCTATGTAAAAAAATAAAAAGGTACTGCAGGCTTCTTACTAGACACAAGATAATATTTACTGCATAATTTTAGTTATGTGATATTCATGAATAGGCTGAAAGGGGTTTGGGAGGTGCTTAGGCACTACAGTGCTTATTGAATA